TCAGTGACCACTTCGGCTACTGGATAGAGAATGGACAACAGGAAGAGGAGTAGAAGCAAAGAAACCTTATAGGAGGCTATTATAATAGTACTAGGTTTTTTTGTTTGTTTTGTTTTATTTTTACTTTTCATTTTAAAATAACTTTTGACCCATATTCCCCAAATGTTAACATCTTTGAATATTACAGTAAAAATATTAAAATTAGGAAATTAACATTGATATGATACTGTTCTCTATTCCACAGACCTTATCCCCAGTTCTCCAGTTATCACACTAACATCCTCTTTCTGGTTCAGAATCCAACCCTGGACCACACAATTTATTAGTTATAATGAATTCTTAGTTATCTTTAGTCTGAAACACTTCTTTAGTCTTTCCTTGTCTTTTAAGACCTTGGCATTTTTTAGTACTAGCTAGAATGCCCGTCCCTTGTAGAATGTTTCTTCCTTTGAGTTTGTTTGATGTTTCCTCATGGTTAAATTCAGGTTATGCATTTTTTAAAATATATTTTATTGACTTTTTTACAGAGAAGAAAGGAGAGGGATTGAGGTCAGAAACATCGATGAGAGAGAAACATCAATCAGCTGCCTCCTGCATACCTCCTACTGGAGATATGCCTGCAACCACATGCCCTTGACCGGAATCAAACCCAGGATCCTTCAGTCCACAGGCTGACGCTCTATCCACTGAGCCAAACTGGTCAGGGCAGGTTATGCATTTTTTATAATACCCTACAAAAGTGATTTTATGCTTTTTAAGTAGTGCATCATATCAAAGTGTACATGATTTGGCCTGCTACTGATGATGATAACTTCGATCACTTGATTAGGATATGTGTCTGCCAGGTTTCCCCACTTTGATTACCCTTTGTAATTCACAAGTGTTTTATGAAGAAGTATTTCGGAACTATATAAATATTGTTTCTTATTATATTTCTGTCCAATAACTTTAGTATGCATGGATGATTCTTACCAGAAACGAGTATGACTGTGGTGATTGCCAAATTGTTTTTTCTATTAGCATTATTCTTCCTACACTTTTTAGTTGGAATTGTACTATAAGAAAAACTTTTACTTATTTCCTATTTATCTATGCAATTATTTATAGTTGAATAGACCCACAAGTTCTCACTAATTTCTGTGTGAGGACCTTGTACTACCATTTATTTATTTTGTTGCTCAAATTGTCCCAAATTTGGCCATTAGGACCCTTCACATTGCCTCCTATGTCCTTTTTCACACGTCTCCATCATTTTTTGAGCACGTCTTAGTTTTTGGTACCACATAATGTTCCTGGCTCAGCTTGTACACTGCTTGCTGTAGCCCTGGAATCAGCCATCTAAGCAGCTCTTGTTCCTTCTATTAGTGACTAGTATTTAGAAGCCAAAATTTGGGTGCTGTGTGTGCTCATTGTTAATGAGATGTAATTACTTCTAGGCTCTTTCAGTAGACAAAGCTAAAAAATACATGTGTACTCACACATCGGTAATTATATATTTTTGTGATTTCATACTGCTAAGTCCAATCTAACACAAAGAGATCATTCTAACCTTCCTCCTCTTATTTATAACTCCTATTATAATAGTGAGAAACTCAGCTCTCATTATCCTCAATACATTTAGTTAATACAAGAATACACATAGAACAGTTCCAGAATTGTTAACACATCACCCTGTGAAATACAAGCCTATTAATCAGAGTACAATTTTCGTGTACAAATCTTTTTTTATTTAACCTTATTTCCATTTTCCAAAATCACTTTTATCACTTCTCCCCATGCCCTGCTTTAGTGTGGCTGTATCAGTCATTTGTAATACAGCTAGGTTTTTCTCTTTACTGTATATTCCATTTTGGATCCACCACACACACCTAGTTGATTTTTATTATTTACTTGTTTTGAGTATGTAAAACATATACATGGTTCTAAAACTCAGAATCAAACAAAAAATATATATGCTATGACAAATGTCACTCTCCTTCATCCCTGCTCCATTTTCATTCCACAGCCTCTCCCACACACCTGCTATTAATAAAGCTCTTTAATTTCTCATTTACTCTTATTTTCTTAGGTAAAAGTTCTTCTGCACTTTGTCTTTTTCACTTTACAGTACATTCTGGAAATCACTTTCTATTCATCCAGGAGATCCTCATTCATTTTCAGAGCTATGTAGTACTGTGTGTAAGTGTAGCATGGTTTATTTTCCCACACTCTTACATGAGTATTTAGGCTGTTCCCAATGTTCAGCTATTTAAAACAATACTGAAATAAATAGCCTTGTGCATGTATATTTTTGTATTATTTAGTGGATCTGGGGGTAGTATCTTCAAGATAAATTCCTAGAAGTGAAATTGCAGGATTAGGAGCTAAGTGCATATGTAGTTTTGTTAGATGTGACCTTCCCCACTTAACTGGTTTGCATTCTCATCATCAATGTATGTATTGTTGTCTTTCATAGCCTTTACAACAAAATGTGTGTCATAACTTCTTAATTTTCCTTATATGATAGTGGCTCATACAAAGATAGCAGTAGAGATAATGAGAAGTGCTTAGATTCTGGATATATTTTGGAGAAAAAAACAAATTCAAGAGTTTATGATGGATTGTTTTGGAGGCTAAATTCTGTTTAAATATTAGGCATCAAGATTAACAGTCTAAACTAGTAACTTATATTTATTTGTTTGACATTCATGAAGCTTTTGGTGACTCTCACCTTCTTCTTAAGCTGGTGTTATTATAATAGTCCAAAAATACTGTAAAAGGCAATGCTAACTGTTCTAACAAATCATTTCCAACATTTTAGTGCCTTGATGCAGCAGAAGTTTATTTATTGCTCATGTAACAATCCAGTATAGGTGTTGCTAATTTACAGTTCTTTCCATGTGGTGATTCAGGCACCTCAGCTCCTCCTAGAATACATTCTCTCCCTGTCCTGGGGTCTTGGGGACCATTGGCAGGAAGTGGGAAAGGAACATCTTAACTGCCTTGGCCTGAAAGAGATGCATATTATTTCCACTTACTATCTGGTTTCCTTTAGGGGTTCTGTTGCTGAGAACTGGTCACATGCCACTTGGCTGTAAGAGAGCCTGGTAATGTGGCCCTTACAGGACAGCGGCTTTCCAGGGAGTACTCTTTATATGAAAGAGGGAATGTGAAGTTAGATGGACAGTTAGCTAATGCTGCTACAGATGTTTAACAAAATAAGCCATTTGACTACTCTGTGGGAACAAATAGCATGTTTTTCAGAATGGAATGCATATCTTGAACTAATACATGGACTAATACTGAAGGATTTTTTTTTAAGTATGATCATGGAGTTTAATAGCAGGGAAAGATGATGAGTTCTACAGGAGGAGGAAATATTTAGCATTGAAAGGTTAAGTAGGCATCACAAAGTAGTTCCAAGTAAGATTTATGGATTTTTTTTTAATCTATATATATAAAAAGCCTAAGTGACCAAACGACCGGTCGACTGGTTGCTTTGAGGCACAGGAGCTGCCCCCTGGCGTCAGTGCACTCCCACAGTGGGAGCGCCGCTCAGCGGAGTGGCAGCGAACCTACCGAGTGGCGGGGGCAGTGGCAGCAGGTGCAGCGGGGCCTGCATGAGCTGGAGTGGCAGGTGGCATTGGACTGCTGGTCTTGGCCCGATTCCCACCAGCACACAGATTTGTGTCTATATATATTTGTGTTTTCATTCATCTGCTCCTTCATTCATTCAACAGACAATAATACTAGAGCTGTCTGCTGCTGGCTGTGTGCTTGGTACGTGTTTGTGTGTGTGTGTGTGTGTGTGTGTGTGTGTGTGTGTGTGTGTGTGTGTTTGTGTGTAAGGGAGGATGAGGGCAGGAAGTAGTGAGGGAAGAGGAGGTGGGAGCTGCAGGGCGTATTTACCGGGGGAAGTGATGTTAATTACATGGATAGAAATATATATAAGCAAAATGCTATGCAGATACAGGAAGAAGCTATTAAATACTATTCAGTATAGTAAGTATTTTTTTCCTTTTGATCTTGAAAAAAAAATCTCAGGCAATTATATAAGGGAAACTTTTCTAAAAGCTTTTATAGTAAAGCACTTTATTAGAACAAAATGATCATCTAAAGAAGAAAAACATCAGATTGTAACAAATAAGAAGCTATTTTATGTTGTTTTTAGAATATAGTATTTTTTTTTTAAAAGAACCGTACATTTTAGAATTTTTTCATGTAAAAGATGAGTACTTTTCACATTCTTAATTATTTGTAGTCTTTGTGCTCATCTTATATGTAAAAAGTTAATACTATACTCTGTGCACAGTTTGATTTATAAGGGTACTGCCAAAGAATAAAATCTGTCATATTTTATAGCCATGCCACTAGAGTGGTCCTGTGTAATTGATCCACTCTGATTCTCATACAATCAGATGTTGTAGGTGACAGCTAGGTTGTTGTTATCAGTAGTAATAGTCATCCTATCACCATCCCCATTTTAAATAATTGAGGAAACTGACACTTAACGATGTAAATGATTTTCCCAGAATCTGTAAATTTAAATTTGCAAGAAAATAAAATTTAAGTTTAGATATTATAGTCTATAATATAGCTGATATTCAAGATAAAAAAAAATCTAATTGAGCTTTTTAAACCTAATAAATTTTCACCTATTGTGGGGATAGGAAATAGCAATTTTAAAAATATGGCTGATATTTCTAAACTGTGCAATATTTTCCATTCTTCTTAGAATTATGACTATTGTTTAAAGGTCAAGAAATTGTCTTTTTCATTGTCTTTAGTCTTAAGAGAAATTTATTTTATGGTACATTTAAATTCTTGGAAACTACTTTAAAATGTGGAATTCTTATTCTCAGAGCCAATTCTCTCTTTGGGGACTTATTGTTTACTCTTTCAACAAAAACATTATTGTATGCCAGGAACTGCACAAGATCCTGACTCATTTGCATTCACATTTTATTGGTGAATAATACTGTTACTCTGTGACTAATGTTCCACTGTGTCTGGTCTCTCAGGTGGGGTGACTGCTCTCTGTTGGGACCCGGTCCAGCGAGTTTTGTTCTCCGGCAGCTCTGATCACTCTGTAATCATGTGGGACATCGGTAGGAGAAAAGGAACTGCCATCGAGCTCCAAGGACACAAGTAAGGCTGTTGGTGCTTTATAAAGAACTCTTGAGAAAAAATTCCCAGCTGAAAACTGGAACAAAGGAGTGCAGTTCCATCTCTATGGCAGGATCTTAGCATGGGAGGAACAGGATAGGAAAGCAAATAATGGCCACTGTGATTTATGTCTGTGTGTTTACTTACTTATACCCTGTTTTATTCCATAGAGGATTTGAAAGCTCTTACAGAAACCGTAAGATAAAATAATAGCAGCAAATAAATAAAAGGTAAAAGTTAGAAGCAGGAAGAATATAAAAGTAAAAATTTGAGCTTAAAAGAAAAGTTTAAAAGAACAAGCCATGAAGGCCTACAGAATTTCTATAATTGAGGTCAAATGTGGCATCAAGATTCCTGGCAGTTTAAGGAAAATACAGGAGATAATATTCTTCCTTACAGAGTACCTTTTGTACTTCACCAAGTATTTATCAGGCTTTTCTTAGGACAGATTCCAGGGGGCTGAGAGGAAGAGCTGAGAAATCTTTGTTGTTTCCTGGGAGCAGTTCTCAAACTTAGCTGGCCAAGGAGAATCACCTAGGAATTGGTTTAAAGGAGTGCCCTGTCTTTAAAGATCCTGGTCACTGGTGTGGAGCTGAGGGCATCTGAATGATAAAGGGCCCCCATCCCAGGCAGCTCTCTGCTGGTGAACCTCAGATCACACTCTGACTTCCTACACTGTGCTGCCCACAGTCCCTGGGGACAAAGTCTGATCATGCTGCAGAAAAGAACTTTAGATGTGCTGTGGAACGCTAATCTAAATTGTTTTTAACTTGTGAAGTTTTCCAAATGATATTGAGAGTGACTGCAGACTTCCATAAACAGTAATGTCCCAATGAACTGATTTGTTTTAGCTCTTTTCTATTATATAAATGTGCTTAGAAACAGTAGTTTTAAAACAGTCTCCTAAGTAGTTAAATCTGCAGTTTAGGATATATTGAACTAATTCAATTTTAGAGGGCCCATGCACAGATAATTATTTTAGTATTATAGTTTAGTGTTGGAGAAATAGCTACTAAACCCTTCTTTCCCACATTACAGAGCAGACTGGTTGTCTGGGGCCACAGCTGGCTTGTGGGGCCACTTTGACCTTGTCATCTGCTCATTAGAGGCATAGTTCCCAAATATTTATCTTCAGACAAGGTGAGATGCATCAAGATCATGTAGGAGTTGATATCATCCATGTTAAGTGAAGAGAGAAATCAAACACAGTCCTGTTTAATAATACTCTGTTATTACCTAATCTGCCAGATAATCCCTGTCACGTAGGCTCTCAGAAATAAAATGCAGGTTTTGAGTGAAGGTCAGTAATATTTGTTGGACTCATTCAGATAAGCTTATAACTAGCTTTGTTTTTACAGTAGTTGATGAAGACTGCAAGCAGTCTTGAATGACCGTCCACAGGGTGGGAAAGTGTCCCAGTGCTCCATGCCAGCATTACCGTGTGCTGAGCACCCTGATGGAGCATGTTGTTCTAGGACACTCACACCTACAGTTTGGTAAGAGGAAAAACTATAAAGTTGAGGTACAATCTCTCAGTCCCAGAGAAAGGAAACCTAAACTAATAGGTCCTCTAGTTTCTAATAAATATAGATTTGGTCTTTTAGAAAATGAAACAGACCATACTTGGAGATTATCCTGAGAAGATCACACCCTTAGAACTCAGCGAGGCAGGTTAGGAGCCACCAGTGAGAACAGCTTTAGATAGGAACAATGGCAGAAGGCCTTTGTTAGGTACTTTATTTAACTCAAGTTTAGTAATAAAGTCAACTCTATGAGGAGCTCTCAGGTCAGAGAGCTAGAAGTAAACTCCTCAGCATCAGGTGGTGTCACCTGTTGGGGTGGTTTAGTTGTGAGTGCCTGAAGGGAGTCATGGGAACTGTTGAAAGTAGGAGGATGGGATTCACAAAGAAGGTGTGGGAAAGAAGGGGCCAAGGCATCAGGCAGGAAAGGAGAACTCATGGGCCCCCTTTCACAGCAGCATTCCTTTGCCCTGAAAGTTGGCCACTGGATCAGTGTTCAGTGACTCTTGTATTTAAATAATGCCTAATATTTAGTAAAGAGCTTTCAAAACTCACAGAAACCCTCCTTCCACTCCCCCCCACCCCCGCCACACACACACAGTTTAATCTTATGATAACCCTCTGAAAGAGAGAAAGCAGTTATTTTTTTTAATCTTTATTATTGAAAGTATTATAAATATCCCTCTTTTTCCTCCCTATTGCCCCCCTCCACGTGGTTTCTACCCTGCCTTAGGCCTTTGCAACCTTATTGTCTGTGTCCACAGGTAATGCATATAAGATCTTTGTTTAATCTCTTCCCACCCATCCCCTTCCCTCTGAGAATCATCAGTCTGTTCTGTTTCCATGTCTCTAATTCTATTTTATTCACCTGTTTATTCTCTTCATTAGATTTCTTATTTATTTTGATTTTTAGATTCAGTTGTTGATAGATATGTATTTATTGCTATTTTATTGTTCATATGAACAATATTTTTCTTCTTCTTCCTCTTCTTAAAGAATGCCTTTAAACATTTCTTATGATACTGGTTTGGTGGTGATGAACTCCTTTAGCTTTTTCTTTTCTATTAGGCTCCTTATCTGACCTTCAATTCTAAATGATAGCTTTGCTGGGCAGAGTAATCTTGGTTGTAGGTCCTTGCTATTCATCACTTTGAATATTTCTTGCCACTCCCTTTCAATCTGCATAGTTTCTATTGAGAAATAAACTGACATTCATATGGGTGCTCCCTTATAGGTAACTAACTGCTTTTCTCTTACTTTAAGATTCTCTTTGTATTTTTCCCTTGGTATTTTAATTATGATGTGTCTTGGTATGGTTCGCTTTGAGTTCCTCTTGTTTGGGACTATCTGTGCTTCTTGGAGTTGTAAATATTTCTTTAACCAGATAGGGAAAGTTTTCTGTCATTATTTTCTCAAATGGGTTTTCAATATCTTTCTCTCTCACACTTATGGCACCCCATAATGTGAATGTTGGTATGAAGTTGTCCCCGAGATTCCCTTCACTATCTTTATATTTTTGGATTATTTTTTTCTTTTTTCTTATCTGTGTGTTTTTTCCTTCCTCATATTTTAAATCATTGATTTGATTCTCGGATTCTTCTAGTCTACTGTTGAATTCCTTATTCTTTATTTCAGTCAGTGTGTACTTAATTTCTGAGTAGTCCTTTTTTGTGTCTTTGGCATTCTCACTATGATCCTTGAAAGTCTCACTAAGGTCCCTCGGAGGTCTCATGAAGATTCTTGAGTAGCCTTATAACCATGGTTTTGAATTATGAATCCAATAGTTTGCTTCAATTTCTTTCATTTGTGACATGTTTCTTTGTCCCTGCATTTTGGCTGTTTCCCTGTGTTTGTTTCTATGTATCAAATAGAACTGCTGTATCTCCTGGTGTTGGTAGAGTAAATTTGTGTAGCAGGTGTCCTTTAGGGCCCAGTGGCTTATCCTCTCCAGTCACCGAACTGAGTTCTGTAGGTGGGTACCTTTGTGGACTGTGTGCACAATCAAGTTGTCGTTAAGACTTGATTGCTATTGGTGTCATTAGGAGGAATTGACCTCCAGGCCAATTTTCTGTGTGGACCAGCTGGGATTACCGTGAGAGAGCTGCTGTGCAGGAGACACCCCTATGGAGCAGGACTTGCTTCAGTGATGCTTTGGTGTTCACTGAGTCTGCCCTCGGATGTGTCACTTATGGATGTAAAGGGTTGTAATCTTGTGTGGTCTTCCACTGACCACTGGGTACACTGGCTCTTGGGTCTCCAGGGAGATGCAAAGTCAGCCACTGCTTGGGACCACCCATCAGGAGCTACAAAGAGATCTGCAGATTCCTCATATTTGTATTAGTTTTAGAAGTTCCCAGGCAAGGCCCACCTCTGAAGCAAAGCAGGCTGCTGCTAGTGCCGGGTCTTGGGCCTTTTATTGATAGATTTGGGGCACTCTGGCCCAGCTGTTGCTTGTTTGAGAGATTTTAGCAAAGTCTGAAGCTTTAGCAAGGACAGGCCATTCAGAAAAGCTGCTGCCACACATATGGTGGGGTCAAAGGGAATCACCAGGGTGGAGCAAACAGAAGTAGCTGCCAGTCAGCTCTGTTACTGGGAGATCCCAGCACAGGAACAATGACCCTGCGAGCACCTGCATCTGGGAGAAAGCTGCCCCTGAGTTCCTGCCCAGATGCCAGACCATCTAGTTTCTCTTTGTATGTATCTGGGTCACCAAGAACCTCACCCTGGCGCTGGAGCTCAGAGGAAGCAGAACCTTGTATGTTCATTTCGTGCACTAGCCCTTTAAGAGGGACAGCAGCCTCCTTGTCACTGAGCCCCAATCCCTGCTGATTTTTACAGCCCATAGTTATGGGGACTTCTCTTCCCAGCTTTGGGACTGGGAGTCTAGTATAGAGCTGGGACCCCTTGTGCTTCACAGGGGGCCTTCCCAATTAAAAGAAGTTGAGACTTGATTGCTATTAATCTTCCTCCCAATTAAAAAAGTGGCACACTGAGATCCTAGTTCAGCCGTTCTGTGCCTCCGCCCCTCCTACTAGTCTCAGTGTGCTTTCTTCTTTACTTCCCTAGCTGTAAGACTTCCATTCGGCTGGCTTTCAGTCGGTTCTGGCTGATGGTTGTTCTTTATTTTAGTTGTAATTTTGACGTGCTTGTGGGAGGTAGCGAGTACCTGCATTTACCTATGCCGCCATCTTGGTTTCTCTCCCCAGATATCATTTTTTAGATAAAAATACTGAGCTACCATCCATAAAGACTTTGTGGCAGCTTAAGTCTCCCAAACCTTAGTGCAGTTTGAACTAAAGAAGTTATTCAGAACCTTCTTTGTTTTCAGCACTGCACTAGGCACCAGAGATAGAAAAATAAAGATTGAATAAAACATGGTTCCCACCATGTCATATGATGTTTTCCCTTTTCTAATTTAGAGGCCAAAGAATTTCTGCTTAGGGCTTGAGGCTGCCCTTTTTT